AGCATAATGTCCTCCAGTTTCATCCATGTTATGAGCTGCTTCACAGATTCATCATTGTTCTTTATCGTTGCATAATATTCCACTGTGTGTACAAACCATAGTTTGTTTATCCATTCATCTGTTGATGGGCATCTAGGTTGTTTCCATATTTTTGCTATTGTGAACAATGCTGCAATGAACATGGGTATGCATATGTCTATTTGTGTGATGGCTCTTATTTCTCTAGTATATATTCCTAGAAGTGGGATTGCTGGATCGTATGGTATGTCTATTTCTAGCTTTCTAAGGAAGCACCATATCATTTTCAAAACGGTTGTATCACTATACACTCCCACCAGCAGTGCATAAGAGTTCCGATCTCCCTGCAGCCTCTCCAACATTTGTTATTTCCTCCAGTTTTTTTGATTTGTGCCAGTAATGCAGGGGTGAGATGGTATCTCATTGTGGTTTTAACTTGCATTTCTCTAATGGCTAGTGATGGCGAGCATTTCCTCGTGTGTCTGCAGGCTGCTTGAATGTCTTCTTTGGTGAAGTGTCTGTTCATTTCCTTTGCCCATTTTTAATTTGTCTTTTTGTTGTAGAGGTGTTGCATTTTCTTGTAGATTTTAGAGATTGGACCTTTGTCTGACTTGTACTGTCCAAAATTTTTTTCCCAGTCTGTAGGTTCTCTTTTTACTCTTTGGGAGAAGTCTTTCAATGAGCATAAGTGTTTAATTTTTAGAAGATCCCAGTTATCAAGCTTATCTGCTGGAGTTTGTGTGTTGTTGGTTATAGTTTGTATCCTGTTAATGCCGTGTATTAGAGCCTCTAGCATTGATCCTATTTTTTCTTCTATGAACTTTATAGTTTTTGGCTTTATATTTAGGTCTTTGATCCATTTTGAATTAGTTTTTGTATATGGTGTGAGATATGGGTCCTGTTTCATTTTTTTGCAGATGGACATCCAGTTCTGCCAGCACCATTTACTAAAAAGACTGTTCCCCATTTGATGGACTTTGGGCCCTTGTCAAAGGTCAGGTGACCGTAAGCAGATGGATTTACATCTCAGTTCTCAATTCTGTTCCATTGGTCAATGTATCTGTCATTGTACCACCAGGCTGTTTTGACTACTGTAGCTGTATAGTAGGTTCTGAGGTCAGGTGATGCTTGTCCTCCTTTTTTTTTCTTCTTCAATAGTGCTTTGCTTATTTGGGGCTTCTTCCCTTTCCATATGAAGTTAGTGATTAGTTTTTCCATCTCTTTGAAGAATGTTGTTGGTATTTGGATCAGGATTGCATTGTATTTGTAAATTGCTTGGGGTAGAATTGTCGTTTTCACAATGTTGAGTCTCCCTATCCATGAGCATGGTATGTTTTCCCATTTATTTAGATCCTTTTGGGTTTCTTGCAGTAGTGTTTTGTAGTTTTCTTTGTATGAGTCTTTTACATCCCTGGCTAGATTTATTCCTAAGTATTTTATTTTTTTAGGGGCTATTGTAAATGGTGTTGTTTTCCTGATTTCCTTTTCATCATTCTCTTTATTGGTGTATAGGAATCCAACTGATAAAGAAGTCTATTTTAAAATTTTAGTTGTTTATAACTTTATAAATGGGATATTGTGCTGTATGAAATTTTCTGGGGCTTTTATTTTCCCCTTAATATTAGATTGCTAAGATTCATCCAAAGTTTGTATATCACTATAATACGTTTTGACATCTGCATAATAATCAACTATGGAAATATGCCCCCTTATTTATCCACTGTCCTAATGGGCAATTGAATTGTTTCTAGGCTTTTGCTATTGTAAGTAGTCTGCTATGAATATTCTTACACATCTCCTTGGGTAGAAGTGGAACCGCTGGGTGGTAGGATTTGTGAATTGTCAACCTATGAATAGTGACAATTTTCCAAAGTGGGTATACCAGTTTAAATCACCACCTGCAAAGTAGATAAATCCTGCTGATGTGCACGCTCTCTGACACCTGGTACTGCCAACAGAATGGGCATTTTTAGAAAGTATGTCTTTGTGGTCTTTTGAATTTCTTTGATCACTAAATAAATGGAACATTCCTTCATGTATTTGTTAGCCATACGAGATTCCTCTTCAATAAAATGTCTGTTCATATTTTTTTTTGCTTATTTCTGTTGAATTTAACTGGATTATTTGTCTTTTTGTTTTAGATGTGTTGAATTTTCTTGTAGATTTTAGAGATTAGACCTTTGTCTGACTTGTACTATGCTTTATCTGTGATTTATAAAATATATTCTTGATACTAATCCTTTGCTAGTTGCATGTATCACAAATGTCTTCTCATAATTTGCAACTTCTCTTTCTTTCCTTAAGGCATTTTTTGATTAAAATATACTTATATTAATATATACACTTCATGAATCTTTGTTTTTACAGTCAAAAATTTTGTCTTGCTTGAGAAATATTTTCCTATCACAAAGTCTAAATTATTTTCACTCATATTTGCTTCAAAGAGTTTTAAAGTTTTATTTTTGACATATAAATCCTTAATCCATTGGAATTGCTATTTATGTATGGTGTTAGGCAGGAATCCAATTTCATCTTTGCTCACGTGGATAACACTGTTTTGCAGCTCTGATTATTGAATAGTCCCTCTTTCCCCACTGATTTGACATGCCATCTCTATATGTGGTTGCAATTCAGGGGGAGTCCATGAACTTGGATGGAAAAAAAAATCTTTATTTTTACTAAACAAAATTTAGTATGTATTCCCTTCAGTTATGAATATAGGTGACAAACCACAGTAGAATTAGCAGTACCAGTTACTTTTCAACAATAGGAATCACAGATGCCAAAGCAAATATCCTAATTAGCAAAAGACTAAAACCATTTTAATTAAAATTAGGAACTAGACAAGGATGTTCACTATCATTAGTATTATTTTACTCTTCCATGGAGATTATAGGAAATAATAAGAGATTGAATAAATGGTACAAACTTTAGAAAATAAAAGAGAAAACTACGTCATTTTGCCAGTGATACTTTAAAAACCCAAAAAGAAGAAAGGAAGACTACTAGAATTAATAAGAGAATTGGATAAGTAGCTGTGCAAAAGAAATTATTTTTAAAATTATTAGTTTTCTCTATTCTAGGAATGTGCCTAGGACTGAAATATGGGAACCAAAACTAAAATACTGTATAAAAATGTAGTAAGAAAGGTAGAGGACCTGTGTGAATAAAACTATATAATCTCATCAAAAGACAGAAAATAATATCTGGACAAATGAAAAGTCACACCATGTCCTTGTATAGGAAAACAATGTCATAACATCAATTGTTCCAACATAATATGTAAGCTTAATTTGTTTTAGTCAGGAATTGCTGTGATAACGCTTCATGACAACCACCCCAAAACTCAGTGGCTTACAACAACGAGCCTTTTTTCCTCATTCAGTGATCATCTGTGGCTCTGCTGAGCTTGACTGAGACTGGCTGAGCCTGGGTTCCAGACTGTAGGTTTAGTTTAGATTTGCTCCACAGATCTTCTCATTCTTCTACTAGCAGCCACCCGGGACATGTTCTTCCCATGGCAAACGGCAGAAGTACAAGAGAAGAAACCAAACTATGTAAGCACATTTAAGCCCTGCTCACCTCATGGTCTCTAAAATTCCATTGGGCAAAGTAAGTCACACAGCCAAGACCAAAGTCAGTGGGGAGGGGATGCATACTCTGCCTACCCTGCTGAGAGACCCCCAAAAACTTCCATGGGAAACGGTGTGGCCTTTTACATAGGAGTGGCAATTTGGGAACAATAATCCAATCTACCACATAATATAACTCTAATTCACATGCTAATGGTTTTTAATTGCTAGTTATTTAAAAGTCATTATGAAAAATAAATATTTCAAAATAATCAAGAAAAGTGTGAAAAATAAAAAAAGAGGATTTTGCTTTACCAAATACCAGAACACACTATCAACACTACTGTAATCAAATCAACATGGAATAGATCAGAGGAATAATGGGTCCAGAATTAGATCATAGGATATATGGAAAAAAATACAGACTTTGTTTTAAAAAAATTGTGGTTGTGTGTTTTGACCTGTCTGGCAGTTCTCTGAGGGACCAACATACAGGCTGATCTTTGTTTTGTCTCCTTTGAACTGGAGTGGCTTTCTGAGCTGTATATGTATATGAATATGTACATATTGTGCATATATTATCTATAGAATTATATGAATCTAAAGAAAAAAACGAAATGGTGCAAACCAGATTGCTAATATGGGGATCCAGCCATTAAGATAAGATTTGCTATCGTATTATGACTATTATAAGTACACTATGAAGGGTTGTCAAATTGAATTTGTAATTATAACCCGCAATCACCAATACCAAAATGGCTTCTCACTTTGTATTTGATTCCTTCCAAAATGATGGACTTAATTTGCTTTAATAGTTTAATGCCTTGCTTCTGGCCAAACTATTTTTTACTAATGCTACCTATCACTTCTGCTATCATTTTTTTATTACTAACAACAAATCTAATGTCTTTGTCCCTTTATGGACTAATCTTTTTTTATTCCAGGTTGCACTGATGGGCTTAAAGCATTAGGGAGAAGGTGAAAAGGGTGCACTCTAGCTCTTCTAGGATAAGAGGAGGGAGAGAAGGAAAATGGAGGAGGGGAGGGAAAGGAACACATGAGGGAGACAGTAATACAGTGTCACCAATCTTTGCTTTAGGCAATAATCAGAGAAATGTTCAGATAATGGGTTAGCTAAGTTTAAGTGGCTGTCAGAACGCAGAGAAAGGAACCCCTGGGCTCAAAAGGCAGTATGGTGTATTGATTAAAGCATAAACTCTAAAGCCAAACAGGCTGACTCTTGAATCCTGACTCTGCCATTTATTAGCTGTGTGATATTAAGCAATTTAATCAATCTGTGCCTAACTTTCCTCATATAAAAAATAGGAATAATAATAGTACTTACCTGATAGGACATTGCAAGGATTAAGTGAGTTATTTAAAGCACTTAAATACAGTGCCTGACACATAGTAAGTACTCTGTAATCATTAGCTATTGTCACTTGGACAAACACTTCTGCTGTCATAGTGAAGTGGTATCTGCTTGATTTGTTTCTTGTTTGTTCAACAGAAAACGTCCTGATGTTATAACAACAACTGACTGGCTTGCTCCAATCATATGGGAAGGAACTTACAATAGACAGGTCCTGGAAAAATATTACAGAAGACTGAACATTACCATAGGCTTGGCTGTATTTGCTGCTGTAGAGTAGGTGCTACTAATATTTGTCCTTTTTCTACATCCAAAGACCTACTTATAATTAACATTAACTTTTATTTCTACCTGTCTTGTATAATAATTTATAGTGGGTATTTTCTCCAACCTTGTCTCAGTCTTTAACACTACTTGGGAACCGTTTTATTAATATCCATTCAGCTCTCTTTTCCTTGTGCCACAACAGTTGTCCCAAAACCCTATGGCTCTTCTCAGGCCCCCTAGCTCACTACGTTCTCTTTCATTAACCAATACAATTGAATCTATGGACTCAGATTCTCTACCTACTGGTAGTTCTTTAGCATCAGTGACACATACGTTAGAGAGCATGTTTAAATGGCATGGATTTGCCTGGTGATTTTTAGCAAAATATGTTTTTTTCTGCTTTTGTCATGTTTCACAGGTTTGAAGATCAATACCTGAAACAGTTCATACAGTCTGCTGATAAGCACTTTATGCATGGCTACAATGTTATCTTTTACATCATGATGGATGAGCCTTCCAGGCTACCTCGCATAGAGTTAGGTCCTCTTCATACATTTAAACTATGTGTAATATTCTATGAAAACACATGGCAAGACTTTAATCTCATACCCATGAAGAATTTAGGTGTGTCCATCTTAAGTCACATGCAGGATGAAGTCAACTTTCTCTTCGTCATGACTATAAACTAGATCTTTAAGAATGATTTTGGAGTAGAAACCCTTGGAAAGTCAGTAGCTCAACTCCATGCATGGTGGTATTTTAAAAATGCTAACTATTTCCCTTGTGAGAGAAATTCCAAATCAGCAGCTTTCATCCCCTTTGGACAGGGAGATTTCTATTACCATAGCGTAATTTTTGGTGGGATTCCTGAGGAAGTTTTAAAACTCATTGAAGAAAATCAAAAAGGAATTATTCATGACACCAAAAAAGAACTTACCAGCATATATGAAAGCCACTTAAACAAATATTTTTTTCTCCATAAACCCACTAAACTGTTATCACCAGAATACAATTGGGATCCAAATTTTCGTACTCCTCCACAAATTAAACATATTCAGATAGCATGGCAGTCAGAAAAGATTTGATGACTATACCATAAAGTTTATGAATTAATAAGTGAATCACAATTCTTCATAAATACAAAATTTATTAAATGTTTCAGTTTTTTAGAGATTTATAAAATGTACAGCCTTCCAAAATAATTTTTCTCCTTACAACTTTGAATCATCTAATTCTAGTAATGTTGGCTAAAGACTAAATGGATGATAATTTAATACACAGTGATGTTATCTATATATATATATATATATATAGATAGATATAGATATATAGATATATATATCTATATATAATGTGGAAATGCTTTTGGAGGCATAAAACAAATTTATATGGATAAATACTCAGACTTTAGTTCGGAAGACACACTCTGTTGGGGAAATGGTCTGCCTCTATGCCTCCTATCCAGGCTGCCTAAGTAAAGGTCTTGGGCCCAGAACATTCTCTGATAAGGAGGCTAGGAATTGGGCTACCTTCTCTCTCCCAGTTCCTTCTCCTTATCAGAGAAGCCTTCCCCCTGTTCTGGGCACACAGTAACTTTCTCAGTCTTTCGCACCCGCGTGGGCATCATATGGCACCTGGCCAACCCCACTTCTATATCTGTTTCCTGCGGGGAAGGAATGGGGTCTCTCGTACTGCAGCACAAGAGGGGTGAAGATAGAATATCTGCTCTGCACTGGCCACATGCGGGATAAGCTTGCTGGCCATGGGAGACTGGTGCCCACTAGTGAAGCTGGTCTTGCTCTGTCTCTTCTCTATGTGAGTAAAGCGTTTTCCATGCACTGATAGGGTGTGCAGGTGGTTTTATGCTGGCGATTGTGGACCCTGTCTGGACACACACACACACAATGGAAAAAGGGACATATGTAAAGGAAAAAAATAAGTATTCATCAACTTACTCATCAAATATTTACCACATTTTTTAGTGTTGGAATATATATTGCTTGTGATTAATCCCCTCAGTTAGTGTTCAATCTGCCTACTATTTGAGTAGATTTAGGTGAACTAGAAACATTCTACAAAATATGTATCTTTTATTGCTACAAAGAGAGATGTTGAGTTTTTTTTTTTTTTTTAATTTTATAGACATGCTTCCATTCATCCTCTTTAAACCCTATTACCACCTCTATGCGTCCTTAGGTGGCACAAATGGGTTGTGCCCAACTACTAACCTAAAGGCTGGCAATTTGAACCCATCCTGTGGTACTGCAGAAGAAAAGACCTGGCAATCTGCTTCTGTTAAGACTGTTGTTGTTATTGTTAGTTGTTATTGAGTCGCTTCTGACTCATGGAGACCCCTTGTGTGCCAAGTAGAGCTGTTCCATAAGATCTTCAAGACTATGGGAAGCAGATCACCAGGCCTGTCTCCTGAGAGTGCCTCTGGGTGGGTTTGAACTGCCAACCTTTTGGCTATGAGTTGAGCACTTAACCATTCAGCCAAGAAAACCCTGTGGAGCAATTCTACTCTTTAACACATGGAGCCGCCATGACTCGGAATTAACTTGACAACAACTAACAACAACTAGACAGAAAATCAGCAAAGATAGAGAACTGAGCAACATCATCAACAGGATCTAACGGGCATTTATAGAATAATCCACCACCAGCAGCAGAATGAACATTCTTCTAAATAAGAAGGAACTAGAACTTGATGATTTTGAAAATTCTCAGCCTCTCCAGATGACAAAAGATGCTAAAATTAAGACTTGGGTTTTGAGCACTGTCAGCAAAATTTGGCCTAGAGATAATGCATGGTCTAGAGCTAAAGCCCTGGTGGCACAGTGGTGGCACCAGCCGCTCCTTGGAAACCCTATGGTGCAGTTCTACTCTGTCCTATAGGGTCACTATGAGTCAGAACTGGCTCAATGGCACATAACAACAACATGGCTAAAGCCCAGGGAGTGACTGTACAACTTTTTGTTGGAGTGCTCAGTCACACAAAGGGCCCTTTGTAGAGTTCAAGGGTGTGCCTCATAGAACTGCTCAGCCAAACAGTAAGATCTATACGAAGCATTGCTCTTCAGCTCTCTCTGCAGGAATAGAGATCTCTGTTGTTGCTTTAACATTTGATAGCATGGGAAGAGTATACAGCAGCTTAACATTACCTGTGATTCAAAAAATGTTAGTTGTCGTTGAAAGGACTTTACTGTAGACGCTTCACACATAACATTGTTTTGCCTTGTAATTTTAGGTTGAATTTATTAAGGAAAATTATCAAGTCTCCATCAAAAGCTAATTTCCTAAGCCATTCAGTGTTCTATAATAGTGGTTGAGGGCGGTTCTTCTCATTCAGAAAAATATTCAATCTTATCCCTGTGCTCAAAATTATTACACTAAAACTTTGCTACTGCTAAGCCATTCAACTATTGTATGGTAGGGTAAGTCAGGCTATTCAGCTGCAATTTCTGACATTAATTCACAGAACTGACAATGGTTAAATCCACAAAAGTGGATCAAGTTCACTATTGAAACCAATGGTTCAATAACACTGATAGATGGAAATTCTTTTTGCATAGTGCCTGCTGATAAATAATGCAATGAATAACTATACATTTCCACAAGCTTTGCAAATTTGTCCAACTAAGCCTTTTTCTGCTCTACACAGTTTTATCACTATCAGTTGTAACTCATCTTAGTAGATTCAACTTCAGACTGTACTAATTAGTGTTTTCTCAGTTTTTTTGGAATTATTCTCAACCACAGTTGCTTTATGCAGATTGTTCACAGAGGCTAATTCTTCAGTCACTTTAAACTTAGCATTGATTCCTTGAATAAACAACAAAAACTGAGTAGTATCAGTAACATCTGTGACTCGTCAAGAGCCAAGAAAAGCCACCTGCCATCATTTGTCTTGTTTTTTTTTTTTCATTGAATATTGATGGTGCTCCTAATGCCCTCAACTCTTCAAGCAGTTGTTCTCACCAAAAGGCTAATGCTCTTAAACAAGTTTCTTTTCTCTGTACACTTTTCTTCAGCTGCTGCAATCAAAACATGACTTAATTTACCCCATGGGTAAATTTTTGTTTTTCTTTCTTTTTTTGCTTGACTAACACATTAGCCACTCAAAAAGTTTCTTTGGTTGGAGCCCCATTTTCATTTTTTGTTGTGAAGAAATTCTGCTGTGATGAGATATTGCATTTTAAATTTTCTAGTTTTTCTGACCACTATTGTCCTATGAGTTGGGAATACTGTAATGAGCGTTGAGTAATGTTGGCATATATTGTATTCTTTTATCACAACTATAGTGTCATTGCATAATGAGCACAGTGCTTTGCCATCTAATTCGATAACAAAATATCCACACTCCACTGTGTCTTAAAAGTTCAACATTCAAAGTGCAATTTACTCTTTTTTTGACACAAATGGGAATGTATTGGTTACAAAATAAAATAAAACATTGCAGTAAGCACATGAAATGCTGTCAAGGAATAACTGCATCACCACAATTTGTACTGCGATGAGTAGCAGTGTGAAGCAATGAGAATTCTGTATTCGTTTCTGTCATAATTACTCAACTTCATTTCTCTTTATGGCTGAGTAATACTCCAAAGTATGTATATACCATATTTTGTTTATCCATTCATCTGTTGATACACATTTTGGTTGCTGCACCTTTTGGCTATTTGCAATAGTGCTGCAATAATCCCACTTATATGAATATCTAGAATAGGAAAATGTATAAAGACTAAAGTTCATTAGTGGTTACAGGGTGGAGGGAGGGGAAGAGCGGGAGTCATTGCTTACGGGACACAGAGTTTCTGTTAAGGATGATGGAAAATTTTTGAAACAAATAGTGGTGATGGCTGTACAACATGAAGAACATAATCAACGTCACTGAATTGTACACATGAAAAATCATGAAATGGCAGATTTTTTAATATATATTTTTGCCACAAAAAATAAGATCAACATACTAGGGAAAAAAAAGTACATATTACCTTCAAAGATACTAACTTCCCAAAAAGAAATAAAGGAAGCCATAACACAATAGAATTATTTCTTCAATGTGCTAAAAGAATTGCCAACTGAATATTCTATATCCAGCAAAACTGAAGATGATAAAAAGGTAATTTCAAACAAATAAAAACACACCTATGATAAAGGAAGATCCACCTTAAAAAAAAAAAATACAGTGTATTCTTCCAACAGAAGAAAAACGATCCCAGATGAAAGAGTGAAAGAATAAGAAAGAATGAAGAGCAATAAAGTAAGTAAGTATAGATAAATATAAATGAATAGTGATTATATAAAAATATATATTGACCTTTGGGTTTAAAATAAATCTAGTGTTAATGGTATATAACTTTTTGAATAGTGATTACTATTCAAAAAGACTAATAAAATTGACAAACTACTGACAAAATTAGACACACACACAAAAAAAGAGAGAAGACACAAATAACCAATATCATGAATAAAACGGGATACATTACAAATAGAACAGATATTTAAAAGACAATAAAGGGATATTATAAACAAGTTTATCCCAATAAATTTGAAAATATGGATAAAATGGAAATTTTTACAGAAAATTATAAAATTTCAAATAATATTGGCCAATATATATATATATCTTAAAGAAATTGAATCAGAGTAAAAAAAAAAAAAAATCTTCCCACAGAAATAATTCTAGGCCCCAAGGGGTTCTCCAGCAAATTCTACCAAATACTCAAGGGCTAAGTGATGTGAAAATAACACAAACTTTGAGATAATAAAAAAAGAAAAAATACATATCAATTCGTTTTAGGAGACTGTTGTGTGCATCGAGTCCAATCATATAGAACAGAGTAGGACTACCCATAGGGTTTCCTAGGCTGTAATCTTTACCAGAGCAGATCCCCAGGTCTTTCCTTTGGTCCCTGTTATGGATTGAATTGTTTTCTCCCCAAAATGTGTGTCAACTTGGCTAGGCCATGATTCCCAGTATTGTGTGGTTGTCCACCATTCTGTGATCTGATGTGATTATCCTATGTGTTGTAAATCCTAACCTCTATGATATTAATGAGGCAGGATTGGAGGCAGTTATGTTAATGAGGCAGGACTCAATCTATAGGATTAGATTGTATTTTAAATCAATCTCTTTTGAGATATAAAAGACAGAATTGAGCAGAGAGAGGGACCTCATGACAACAAAAAAGAAGCACCAAGAGTGGAGTGAGTCCTTTCGACCCAGGGTCCCTGCACTGA